CCCTCCTTTGAGGGAGGCAGGGGGCGGGGCCCGGTTCCAGGGCCGTCTTTCCTGACCAGACCATCCTCCTCCGCTATCCCGGGCAACTGCCTGTAGGCCACAAGGCCGTATAGCAGTGGGTTTTCCCACCTGGAATCAGCTTTTCTCCCAAGTCTCCAAATCTCGTGCTTGCGGCAAGTGCTGTGCCTAACCCACAGCTGGGGTTGTCGCTGGGAGCGCACAGTACAGATCGTCTGAAGTGTCATGGAATGCATCATGGTGCCTCATACTGAGTCTGACCACTGGGTCCACCCAGATCCTGTCTGTCCTTAACCCTCAGTGGCTCTCCAGAATCTTAGGTGGGGGTCTTTCCCAGACCTGCTGTCTGACATATTTTTTGCCTGAGATGCCAGGGACCAGGTCCGGGAACAGACAGCTCCAGATTTCTTTCTAAAGACGTGCGAAGCCACCTTAATGTGTCAGATGAGTGCCCGGTCTCAGCCGATGTTGTCTGTTCTGCTGGTAACAGCTCCGCAGTATCTCAGACAGAGGTCTTTCCCAGATGCTTTTCGACTCGAGATGCCTGGGATAGATGCCTGGGACCCAGTGCATGTAAAGCATGCTGAGCTATGCGCTGACCCCACAGGGGTTTTCTCCGGCCGCTCTGTTGGAATGAACCAGTTGCCAGTGTGTTCATCTGCCTTGGTTTCCTTCCAGCTTTCCCGAGGCTCCAGCTGAGTGCCCTGCCCCCGAGGAGACCGTGGTAAAGCCACGTGAGCCAGAGAGAGTCGAGCAGCCCCCAACCACCTTCGTCCAGCGTGAGAAGAAGGCTCCCCGCCCTCCGAAGAAGAAGTACCAGAAGGCAGGGCTGTACTCCGATGTGTACAAAACCACTGAGTAAGTAGGACTGCTGTACTGCCCACTAAGTCGCTTGCTCCCCTCCTTCTTTGGTGTAGTGGTGTAGTGGTTAAGTGCGCGGACTCTAATCTGGGAGAACCGGGTTTGATTCCCCACTCCTCCACTTGCACCTGCTGCATGACCTTGGGCCTTGAAAAAGAGTCCAGTCTCCTCTTCTGTTCGTCTTTTACCTCACAGGGTGTCTGTTGTGGGGAGGGGAAGGGAAAGGAGATTGTAAGCTGCTCTGAGACTCCCTTGGGTAGTGAAGGGTGGGGTATAAATCCAGTCTCCTCTTCTGTTCGTCTTTTACCTCACAGGGTGTCTGTTGTGGGGAGGGGAAGGGAAAGGAGATTGTAAGCTGCTCTGAGACTCCCTTGGGTAGTGAAGGGCGGGGTATAAATCCAATCTCTTCTGTTCGTCTTCTACGTCTTCTGGAGACTCGCGATTAAAATTGCAGACCTGTGGGAACATTACACACCTTCCCAGGTGAGCCCCTGTCTGAGAGAGGCCTGCAGTGATCTTGGACATGTCGCAGGTGCAGGTCTCAGGAGACGGTCAGGCTCCTTAGCTGGAGAGTTTTAAGCATTCTTGCATCAAAAGGCTTTTTTAAAAATGCAGTTCACAAGTTAGGGGCCTTCCGGGGAATCGCAGAAGGATCAGCTAGGAAATTTCCCTCTGGGTCAGACCTCTCTCTTCCAGATGCTGTAAGCAGTTGGGGACCCAATCAGGCAGGATTCCCCTACCTCACCTGTCTCGCCCCGGCCTTTAGCTGAATGTTCCCGTCCCATGTGTATAGTCTATCAGTCACCAAAGAGAAGTGTCTGGTTATTTTTTTGAAGTGACACGAGGAGACTTGGGGCTTGGAATATGGATCCAGGAACAATCTGGGGCTTAACCCTGTGGCGGAATGAGTCCTGCTGGAGGTTTCCCCTTCCTGTGGAGACAACGGCTGGGAGGTAAAAGGGCCGCACTTGATTCTGAAGGCGCACACTCTGGCGGGTCTACATCTTGCCCAGGGGCCTTACAGATGTGCACCCCCAGGGCTGCGCAAGGCTCGGAGGACAACCAGAGTCCTCCTTGGGAACAGAGGCTGAAGTCATCCATCTTTTGGGACTTTTCCAGCTCTTCGGTGGGAGTCTCATCCTGGCCGGCTGCCTGCTGACGCAACTCCCTAGCCTCTGTGCTTGGTGTCTTCCAGACGCACACTGGAAAGTGTCAGGGGTCTTGAGCACGCTCAGTTTCTTCTCCTTAGGTTCCTTTCTAGTTTGCAAAGTAATATCCCCCACCCCCGCATATCTGGGGAGTGTGCTGAGTGCGTGTGGGTGTTTCTGCCATCATAATTGTTATTTGCCCTTTGCCATCATAATCGTTATTTGGAGTACATTTTGACAATTTTAGTAAAGCAGATTTTACTTGCGTATCAGTTCCCATTCTCCTCCATCCTTTTCCAGATTAAGGGCTAGATTGGGGTGGGGGGCAGGAGAGAAAGACTTCTCATGCTGAGAATCAGAGGTTTTTTGGGGGGAGGGCAGCTCTGATTGACGTGAAAAGTCACATAAAGTTTTCAGCCATAGCAAAATTAAAACCGAACCCGAACGTACCTAGTTCTAGTATAATAATACTGATTTACCTCACAGGGTTGTTGTAAGGCTTATTGAAATGATGTCCCGTTCCTTATTGGAGCCAGATTCACGTCCAACAGCCCCTTAGAGACGGATAAGATTTTCAGGGTATGAGCTTCTGGTGTAGTCAGTGTTAAGAGTGGCGGACTCTAATCTGGGAGAACCAGGTTTGATTCCCCACTCCTCGGCATGCAGCTGCCGGTGTGACCTTGGGATCAGTCACAAGTTATTTCAGAGCTGTTCTCTCAAGGGCAGTCCTCAAAAGAGCTCTCTCAGCCCCGCCTACCTCACAGGGTGTCTGTTGTGGGGAGGAGGAGGGGAAGGAGATTGTACGCTGCTCTGAGACTCCAAGTGAAGGGCAGGGTAGAAATCCAACTCTCCTCCTTCTCCTCCTCCTTCCCCCCACCTTTCCCACGAAAGCTCTCACGGGTCTTGCACTGCCCCTAGCCCATCTTAAAATTACAGCAGTTATATTCTGCCCAGGATGTGAGCTGCTCTGGTCAGTAGGGAAGAAAAGAGGGAACATTTGCTCACACCTCGAAAATCTCGTCGGTCTCTAAGCTGCCGCTGGACTCGAATCGTGTTCTTCGACTACAGACCAACAAGGCTGCTCCTCTGAAACCGTTGCTTATTATCGACTGGATCCATGGCATTTATACAATTGCACCGTTTGCTATTGTTACGATATTTATAGCCCACTTTTCAGACAGCGCGGCTCACTTCAATGAAGAGCCTCAGGCTTACAGACTAAAAGGGACCAGGGAAAGGGAGGGGAAGGGAGATCGGTTTCAACAGTGTCCCAGAGGAGCGTGCATTTGTGTCCTGTTGGGGGCGAAGATGATCTTCCCTTGGTGCCGTTCTTCCTGGGAAGGAGGAGGGGGCTGCAGCTGGTCAGTGACCCTTGGATCCCCGGCCAGTGGCAGAGGCCAGAGTATCCTTCCTTCGCTTCTGTAGTTCCTGCCTAGCCAGTGAGCAGAGCAGAGTTCTCCCAAGTGCCGGGCTCCTTCTCAGCTGATGGCTTTGTCTTGACACGGCCTTCTTCCGAGGGTGTGGGGGCGGGGTCTGCGTGATGGCAGCGCCCGATCAGGAGCCCCCAGCTAGTTGTTGTGTCCCTTCCCCTCTGTCTCCCCCTCTTACAGCTCCTCCTTCCCATTCAGTTCTGAAGCTCATCCTAGTTACGTCCTCCCCAGCGGGTAAACTAGCAAATCTGCCCATAACCCTGGCCGAAAACGGGAGCTAACGGAAACCTCTGGTACGGACGTGCAGTTGCACGCTGCACCGTGAAAAGCGAGGACTGGATCTTGCAAGCAGAAAGTTTGTTTCTGGCTGACCTCAGAGGAGAAGGGGCAGCCTGTGACATTCTGTGAGCACTCAGGAATAACGATGGATGTCCTTGGGTGTTACCAGGCTTATGAATTACCTGCTCAAGGTGGGACAGGGGCACACGTTGCCTCGCAAGCCGCCGCCATTTCCATACATTAATTGGCCCCAGCAGTGCTGGTGAGGCTTCAGATTTGCCATACCCAGGGAAGGCAGCTAGCATGGACTTGCCCTCGCTCCAGGACCCGAGCTGATGCAACGCGCTGTCTCCTCTCCGGAGCCCACGTGCTAAATTCCTGAACGGCATCCAAGTTAAAGAATATTTTGCTCACAAGACGCGTGACTCATCATTGTTTCCTAGGAGTCTCTCCCCGCCCCCCCTTTCCTTAAAGGACAGATCAGGAGATCCTCTGGAGGCTAGGGAGTGGCTTACTCGCTTATCAGATCAGCACTTGCCTCATGTAAATAACTTTTGCCCAGACTGAGGAAAGAATTTGCCATATGGCCTCTTGTTGCTCTTTGGCAGTGATTTCAAGGAGGGGAAGGTGTCCTGTCTTTTGCAAACTGAGCCGCACCATAGTAGAGAGCCTTTTTTTTTTTTTTTTGCCTCCAGAGCAAAGCTTGTAGGAGCCTCTGGTGTAGAACTGACTCATACTGTGCTCTTCGTAGGGCAACTTGGAAATCCATTTTTTCCTCCAGGATATAATGTGAAAACTGATCTTACAACATGGTGTCCTCACAATTCACGTTCTTGAAATCATACTTAAAAATAACCGATGATAGGAATAAAATATTCACTGAAACAAAACCACTTGATAAATAGAGAATCTTTTATCTCTTTTTTAAAGGCAGTCCATTTTCCATCTACCACATTTAAGAGAAACGGTTGAGTCATTCCTGGTTGTGGTTCTTGCAGTGCATATCACTGCATTTGCAAGCCTCTGGTAAAGCAAAACCATAGATTGTATCACAGCAGTGTGTTTAGCCTGATTCCTAGGGGAAGACTGCCTTGCTTCAGTGAAATGTGCAAAGCTAAGGCAGACCCTTGTCAAGAATTGAAACTGAGGCCCAAATAACATCATAAATCCTCAGAAAGGAAACAGTATTTGCTGGGCATTATGGAGAAAACAACTTTCTCTGGTGTCCTGGTTCCAAAGGAATGCATGCAAGCAGGGCTGGTTGTATGATTTTGATCAATTAATTTAATCAGTTAGTTGTTTTACCTGCTTGATCTATATAAACGAAACCAGTAACTCTGAATTTTAAAAAGCCCTCTTTTTTAATATCATGCATGTCTTATAGCAGTCCTAGTAGCTAGAGGTATCCAAAAAAAAACCTGGTATTTTTCGGGTTTGGGTATATTGAACCCCAAAAATCGGTATTTCCTGATATTTCCGAATCCCAATACTAGTGTGATATTCAGATTTGGTAAATATTCGGGATTGCTGAATTTTTAAAGCTCCATTATACCCTATGGGGACCCTTATAGTCAATGATCCCCATAGGGTATAATGGAGAATCGATCTGGGGCTCTGTGAGAGTTTGGGTTGGGTTTTTTTGGTAGATGCACCAAATTTGCAGCATAGCTGCTGATGCCTCTCTTCAACCCCCCCCCCCAATTTAAAAAAGATTGGACTAGGGGGTCCAATTCTATGGGCCCCATAAGAAGGTGCTCCCATTCTGTATTGTTTCCAATTCCCTTTAAATGCCTTTTGTAAGCTGCAGCTGAACTCTGAAAGCATTTAAAGGGCTCATGGTCCCTTTAAATGCCTTCTCCAAGCCATAGCTTCACCCGGAAGGTGTTTATAAAGGGACTCTAATCCCTTTAACACCAGCTATCTGGAAGCCCTGAAAAATCCCAACATCAGCCGTATCGGATAGCCAGATAAATACCCCGGCTGATATCTGGCTGAAAAAATACTATACTGGTATGGTTTTTTCAGGGTGGTTTTTTTTTTGGGGGGGGGGGGCTTGGATAAACTGAATGCACAGTTCTGCTAGTAGCCCAGACTAGCCTCATCTCGTTAGAACTTAGAAGCTAAGGAGGGTCGGTACTCAGTTGGGAGACCACCAAGGACAATGGGAGCTGCTATGCAGAGGAAGGCAGCTGCAAACCACCTCTGCTGATCTCTCACTTCGAAAACCCTGTGAGCTAGAACTTTGTGGGGCTGCCCTGAGTTGGTTAAAACTGTAAGGCAGTCTTTAACTTATATGGTAGAGTAGGCCTCTATGACGCACCCGTCCACTTCTCTCCGTTTTTCTTCCCCTGTGTGCCCTAGTTATCTCTTTTCTTCTTTCTTGAAGAATTCTGACTGTCCTTCCCTGTCAAAGTATATTTTATTGCTGGCTTAGCCAGGAGCCTGAGGGAAGGGTCAAGAGCCCCCATTGAGTTAAATAATTGAAATGGCACTTGAGGTTTTTGGAAGTTCAACAATTAAAAAAAAATATTCAACATAGAGGGGGAAAGGTCAGGTGAAATCAGGGGTAAAATTTCTGACATAACTCAAATAAACCTGAGGTAAAATCAGTAGATGCACAAACTGCAGTTCATATGTTTCAGGCTAATGAGAGTTTCTTAAGCTATTCACAGTGACTTCAAATCTGTATGATGAGAGGCTTTTATTCCAGTGTTTCCTAAACACTTTGGTACACTTTCTTTGAGTATTCACTGACTCATTTGGTTTCTAGAAGGCTGGAACATTCTGTGCAGTACCCAGACCCCTTCTCTAAACACTCCAGTACTCTTCTTGAGTTTTAACTGACCCTTAAGGTTTCGCAAGTCAGTCTCTAACCACACCAGACCAGGGATCTCTTCACTCTTCAGAACTGTCTCCCTGTTTTGACTGGGCAGCAAAATTCTTCTCTCACTAGATCTACCCCCTTTCCTTGGGCCAAATGGGAGTCTTTGCCTACCCACTCTTCCTTGCCAACCTCCCCAGTACTCCATCTGTGTTTAACTGCTCTCAGTCAGGACTGAATTTAGACTCTGTCAGTACTTGACTCTTCTTGGCTAGGGTTGAAGCATTCAGCTCTCAAGTCTTTCTTTGCTCAGCTGATGCTAACCAGATTCCTTGGAGCAGCCTGTCAACTCAAGGCTGTTTCTGTGAAGAATTAACCCTTCACAGTCCTGTATCTGTTTATACAGCACTTCTAAGCTTTTACAAGTGCAGTCCATCACAGCGTCATCTTAATTGAGGCAATTCCCCCTGTACAAAAGAAGGAAATGCCTCTTCATAGCTAATGCCTACAAATACCAAACAGGCACCATCTTTTAGGAAGCATTTCCCTTTTTTATGAAGGAGAAAGGGAAATGCTTTTTCCAAAAGAGTGACCGTCATCCAAGGTTTTGAAGGCATGATTAAATGCTGTTTTTCATTAAACATTCATCTGGATTAATGAGTGAGGGGGGAGTTTTATCCAGCCTGGAGGCAGTTAGTAGCTCTGATTAATTGCCTGGATATTGCAGCCTTCCCTGAAAGGTGTTCTTGTCGCTTTTTCTTATGAGCGTCACCTTAAATGTGATGCGGATTCCTAGGAGCAGGGGTGTGAAGGCTATGGTTGCGTGAAGCCTACACGGGCTGTGATGACCCACCAGGAACAAAAATGGAAACGCTGGGCGCTGATCCCTTTGACGCTACATTTTTAATACTGGTGTATATAACTATTGAAGTGAAGAAGGGACAGGGTTGGATTGCAAAGGTAAAGGTGTTCCAGATGGTGTGTGTTGGGCAGGTGGATGTAACCGTTAAAACGACACAGCACCCTCTAGTGTCAGTACAGTTGCCCGCACAGTTAACTACTCCAGGTCTGTGGACAGTAAAGCCAAAAGAGGGCAGTTGGCAACTTGGCACAGCTGGTGTGGCCGGAGACCCCATTGGAAATCAGTGTGGGAGCATTTGGGCCTCTCTGTTTGCATAGTCTGGGCACATATGACTGACTAAATCTGCAGTCAGTCATCAGAAGCATACCAAACGGAAGCCGGTAGACATATTGGCCGTACTGTACAATGTTATTCAGAAGCGGTTACCCAAAAGTGCTAGACAAGCTCTCCAGTCTTGGGGGGGGGGGGAAATAACCTGATGATATGCTTCCCCCTTTCCCCCCAACTTGTCATCTTGCAGCCTCTTCCTTTAATAAGACTGCAAGAATGTGTTACAGATTTACTTACAAGAATGTTTTACAGTTTTGCTTCCAAGGACTAGATAATAAGAGGGTTCTAGGTCAAATTAAGCCGGAACTCTCCCTAGAAGCTAAATGACTAAACTGAGGTTATTGTACTGTGATCGCATTGTGAGAAGACAAGACTCACTGGAAAGGCCAATAATGCTAGGAAAAGTAGAAGGCAGTCGGAAAAGAGGAAGAACCAACCTGAGCTGGATTGACTCAATGAAGGAGGCCGTGGCCCTCCGTTTGCAAGACCTGAGCAAGGCTGTGAACGACAGGAGGTCATTAATTCGTAGGGTCACCATGAGTCAGAAGTGACTTGACAGCACTTAAGACACACACACACACACACACTAGAAACCTGTGCAGACTGCTGTTCTGAGGGCCCTGAAGATACCACAGGTATGGCTCAGGAGCACACTGTTTGTAGTTCCGATGCATCTGCATAGCTTTGCTCGCTGTAGTGAAACGTGTTGCCTAATTTCGTAGTGGTTTTCTGCCTTGAGCTCACAATCCTGGCTGGTCTTGCAAACGGCACAGTTTTATTGACATAATTCTCGGGACAGTCCTGCAAGGTGGGTAGGGTTACCAGCACTATGGAGGAAAAAGTGGCCTGTCCCTTTAATAGAGGCTTAATGGAATGTTATTGGCCGGGTGATGTTGTTTATTGTCATGGCCACGGAAGGCTTCAGCTGCCCATTTCTGCTCCGGAAGCCTCTATTAAAGAGGCAGGTTTTTTTTCCCCACCTCCAGGTTGCTGACAGCTCTGAAGGTAGGCTACAAGTATTTATCCCACCTGAGAGAATGGTAGCTTTTCTAAAAGCCATCCGGTAGCTCAGGGCGGCTAACAAACGGCCAAGCCGAAATTCAAATCTAAAAACAATAGACAATATTACATACGATAAAATTCAGTGCAACAATAATTCATATAAAACCAAGATGCACGACATCCCACATTGGCGGCCCCCACATTGGCGGCCAATTTCTTAATTGCATGAGCACCAGGAGTAGTATTTCCCAGCTCATGGGCAACATCTGTCTCTCCAAATAATGGGGTAGATGAATGATGAACTCTCAATGATGGAATAATGGCGGCGGCGGCTCCTCCTCAAAGGCCTGGCGGAAGAGCTCTGTCTTGCAGGCCCTGCAGAACTGCACAAGGTCCCGCAGGGCCCGGATCTCCTCCGGGAGCTCGTTCCACCAGGTAGGAGCCACCGCCGAAAACGCCCTAGCCTTAGTTTGGGCAAGCTTCACACTTCGGGGGCCTGGTACATCCAGGCGATGGGTATTCCCCGATCGCAGTGCTCTTGAAGGGTACATTTAACAGTTTTGTCTTGAGCACTGTGCTTCGCTATCTAGGATGCTTTTCTCTCTGTGGCGGGTTGAGTTCATGGGGACATGCACAAACTACGAGGCTCACTCATGACAGCTGTCATGGTTGTTGGACTAGGATCTAGGAGACCCAGATTCAAATCCCCTTTCATGCCATGGGAGTTTACTGGGTGACGTTGGCCCAGTCGCACACTCTCAGCCTAACCTGGCAATACAGCACACACTGCCATACGATGATGATGATGACAATGACTGGAGGAGAGAGTGCTGTAAGCCTCTTTGGGTCCCCATTGAGGAGAACAGCTGGGTATAAATAGAAGAAGAAGAAGAGATTGGATTTATACCCTGTCCTTCACTCAGAGCCTCAGAGCGGCTTACAAACTCCTTTTCCTTCCCCTCCCCACGACAGACACCCTGTGAGGTAGGTGGGGCTGAGAGAGCTCTTTCGAGAACTGCCCTTGAGAGAACAGTTCTGAGAGAACTCATGACTGACCCAAGGTCACACCAGCAGCTGCAAGTGGAGGAGTGGGGAATCAAACCCGGTTCTCCCAGATTAGAGTCCGCGCACTTAACCACTACACCAAACTGGCTCTCTATATAAGGAAAATAAATAAACCCTTCCTCTTTCTGCTTCTCTCATCCTCAGCCCCAAGAGTCGCCTGATCCAGTTGAAGAAGGAGAAGCTGGAGTACACTCCTGGAGAGCATGAGTATGGATTGTTCCCAGCCCCTATTCACGTGGGTGAGTACTCTGTGCGCACTGTTGGGGGCCTCTCCCCCCCCCCCCCCCCCCCCCGCTAGAGGTTGTTATTTTTTTTAAGAATAGTTCCATGGATTATGAGTGAAGTTTGAGCAGAACGTCCCCGAAGGACATTTCTAGGCATTTTGTTCTGGGATGCTGGAAATTCACTCCTATGACAGAGGTAGGGCGGGAAGGGGAGGAGTTGAGAAAATCTTTCTTCCCCTTTAGGTTATGCTGGACAGCTGTGTTGCATTAGCCTGCTACCCAAAGGGAATCTTGACTCCCAGTGTAGGTCACAAAGATGTACCTTCTTGTCGGGAGCAACACGGAGTTTGCCCCACCCCTACCTTAGTGTGTGCCTTGATTTGTGGCAGGGGCAGGACTGAATGCTAGGTGATGGCTGTCCACAGAATGCGCAGTGTCTCAGATCGTTCGGAAGGAAAGGAAGACACCATCTCTTCTCCAGAGCTTTTAGCAGAAAGTGCCCTGCACGCGGGCTGGGAAGTCTGTCCCCCCCCCCCCCCCCACGAGAGAGTGTTCTGTTGGCCAGTGTTCCTTCTAAGCTGTGGAGTCTCATGAGCAAAAATTCTACATTGTGAGCTCCTGGCATTAAAGTGGTGAGCGAGCGATTTGGCTGCTGCATAAATTAGTTTGCTCTGAGGCCATCCTTCCTGAGCTATGACAAAAATGTGTGAGCCGGAGGCTGAAAAACTCTGAGCTAGCTCACACTAATTCAGCCCAAAGGAAGCACTGGTGGTGGCTTTAAGCTGTTAGGCCAAAAAATACGTGAGTTCAAATCATTGCTCATCTATGAAGCTCACTGAGTAATCTAGAGCTGGTCATCTTGTCTTGCTAGAATCACAGAACCGTAGAGTCGGAAAGGGCCACACAGGCCGTCTAGTCCAACCTCTTGCTAGATGCAGGAGCAGCCTAAAGCATACCTAGTAGGTGTTTGTCCAGCTGCTGCTTGAAGACTGCCAGTGAGGGGGAGCTCTCCGCCTGCCTAGGAAGCCCATTCCACCGCTCAACTACTCTTCCTGTGACAAAAATTCTTCCTCATATCCAGCCGGTACCTTTTCGCCTGTAATTTAAACCCATTCTTGTGGGTCCCCTCCTCTGCTGCCAACAGGAACAGCTCCCTGCCTTTCCCTAAGTGACAGCCCTTCAGATACTTCAAGAGAGTAATCATGCCCGCTCCCACCTCCTCTTCTCCAGACTGAATGTTCCCAAGTCCCTCAGCCTTTTCTCGTAGGGCTTGGCCTCCATGCCTCTAATCGTCCTCGTCACTCTCTTCTGCAACCCACTGGAACTAACTTGCTTCAGAAGTTTGCTACGAGGACAGAAGATGCTAACTCCCCTTATGCACATTCTGTGGAGAAAGGAGGGGGAAAACAAATGCGATCAATCGATTTTCCCTGAAATGGGAGCTGAAATTACTGTTGTTCAACTGGAGGGTGGCATTCATCCATTGATAACCATGCAGCAAGCCAGAGGGAGAAGATAGGAATGGCTGTGCAGGATCCTGTCAGAGGTCCCTCTAATACAGCACCTCGTTTTTAACAGATGCGTCTAGGGAGCTACCAAGCAGTAGAAGAGGGCAGATAGCTCTCCCCTGTTGTCTTTCACCAGCCTCTGCTGTTCCCAGATATACTGCTTCCAGAGGTCATTTCGGGGGGGAACGTGGGGGAGGTGCAGGGGGGTGGGGCACATGACGAAGCCCCGCCCCCTGCTTCCGTCCGCCCCGCTTCCAGCCCTCATTCAGCCAGGAGGAGGCAGGAGAAGAGGGAGGGTAAGTTGCTTCCTCCCCGCCTCTCCCCACCCCTGCCTGCCTGGGGCCAGGGAGGGCCTTGGCGGGGCTTCCTCGCACTCCCGCTGGCCTTGTAGGTCCACCGCCGGGCCCCTGATGTCAGGGGGTGTGGCATATGCTAATGAGTTATGCTAATGAGTTCCCCTAGCTCTTTTTCTCCGAAATGACCCTCTGAATCTGTAGGCTCCATTTGTCTGCCATGGCTTAAAGTAGGCCACACTTTAGCATCTATCAGTGCATCTTGTGGCAGCAAATTCCTTCAGCCACTGAAGAAATTAGATTTATACCCCGTCCTTTGCTCAGACTCTCAGAGTGGGTTACAATCTCCTTTCCTTTCCCCTCCCCACAATAGACACCCTGTTAGGGAGGTGGGGCTGAGAGAGCTCTCCCGAGAACTGCCCTTGAGAGAACAGCTCTGAGAGAGCTGTGACTGACCCAAGGTCACCCAGCAGCTGCATGCGGAGGAGGGGGGAATCAAACCCGGTTCTCCCAGATTAGAGTCCACAGCTCTTAACCACGACACCAAACTGGCTCTCGGCAATTTGTGAAGAATGTACTCTCCTGGGTTGGATCCTGCAGATCCGTTCTGTGAAGGGCAATGCGTTTCCCCAGTGCCAGAAGCCCCTTGCTGCAGGGGAAGCGTCCTTGCAGGAAGGACGACGCGCCACCCTTAGCGGAACAGGTCCGCGGGATGCAGACTTCTGTTTCCCTCTGGAGCTTTCAGCTTCACTGAATGACCCTGATCTCCTCTAGCGTAATGGCTGAAGGAAACTTCTCTCCACCCGCCATCGCCTTTCTTGGTTCTGTAAACCTCTCTCATTTCCCCAGCCCAATAGTAAAATAGCCCTGCTAGCCTGCGTAAGTGAAAAGACAAAAATAGGGTAACAGGGTTTCTGACATTAAAACGACACAGGGAGAGCTTCGAGTGCTTCTTTCCGCCTTGACTTAGATAGTCTGCTTGCCCCCCCCCGGCTCGGTGGGTCGAGTGCCAGTCTGCGCTCCAGTCCCATTTTCCCCCCGCCAGGTCACAACCTCCGGTTTATTTGCACCGGGAGACACAAACAAACACCGCACTGTAAAGATAAGGCAGTTTTAATGACCCCGCCTGGCATAGGAGGGAAAAGCACTCTCGCCTTCCCAATCTAGTTACGAGGATTATTTCTCTGCCCCGGCTACCTCGTCTGGGTGCCTCCTTATTGAGCTAGAGAGAGAGAGAGAGAGCAGGCGAGAGCACTCCCTGCTCTCTGGGCCGGCTGCCAGGCCCTTGAAAGAGCCTTTTGTTTTACCCAGTGAGGTCATAGAAGTGAAAACAGATTCCCAGCGGACTTTGCTGCTTCCTGGAACTCGCCAAGCACAACTCGAGGCTTTGAAAAATAAGAACAAATTTTAAGAGCGGGTTGTAAAGAAAAACATGACAGCTGCACCCTTTTTTTTCCAGGGGACTTCTTGTTGTTGATGGAGAAGGGATGCTGTGCATCAGAGCCCTGAGGCATGTTCATTTCACTCACACACGCACACACATCCCCAATCTTTGTTTTTCCCTGTTGCCCTGAATTCTGGGTGTCAGCACTCCAATGGAGGAAACACAGAAACATAAAGCTGGAAGGGACCGTGATGGTCATCTAGTCCAACCCCCTGTACAATGCAGGAAATTTACAACTACCTCCCATCCCCATTCCTCTAGTGACCCCTGTTCTATGCCCAGAGGACGGCCAGAAATCTCCAGGGTCCCCAGGCCTGTAAGAAAGGACCACAAGAACTGAGAACTGGCTCATCATAAGAACATAAGAGAAGCCAATGTTGGATCAGGCCAATGGCCCATCCAGTCCAACTCTCTGTCACACAGTGGCCAAAAATACCAGGGGCCATCAGGAAGTCCACCAGTGGGACCAGGACACCAGAAGCCCTTCCACTGTTGCCCCCCCCTCCCCAGCACCAAGAATACAGAGCATCCCTTGCCCCATACCGAGAGTTCCTTTCTATACCTTGCGGCTAATAGCCACTGATGAACCTCTGCTCCATATGTTTATCCAATTCCCTCTTGAAGCCATCCATGCTTGTAGCCGCAACCACCTCCTGAATTCCATGTGTTAATCACTCTTTGGGTGAAGAAGTCCTTCCTTTTATCTGTTCTAACCCAACTGCTCAGCAATTTCATTGAGTGCCCACCAGAGTTCTTGTATTGAAAGGTCCCTCTCTTGCCCTCCCTCTCACAATCTACCTAAGTTCACAGAATCTGGATGTCTGTCAGATGGCCGTCTAGCCTCTGCTTAAAAACCTGCAAAGGAGAGGAAAGCCCACCACCTCCTGAAAAAGCCAGCTCCACTGAGGAACAGTGTTCCCTCTGAGCCGAGTTAGTGTGAGCTAGCTCACAGTCTTTTAGTCTCCGGCTCACACATTTTTGTCTTAGCTCAGGAAGAATGGCTCCAGAGCAAACACATTGATGCAGTAGCCAAATTGCTCGCTCACCACTTTAATGCCAGTCGCTCACAAAGCAGAATTTTTGCTCACAAGACTCCACAGCTTAGAGGGAGCATTGCTGAGGAACCATTTTAGTATTTGCTGTTGGTAAATCCAGTTCCTATTGCTCACTTACCTAGTAAAGCAAATCAGAGTCAGATTCCGAAGGGCACAGCTCGGGTTGGAGCTCCGGCAAACCTCCAGAGGGCTGCATCATGAGCCACAGGCCTGCACGCCCTTGAAAATGGGACTCGCTGCACAGGTGGCCCTGAAGGTAGGAACCTCCTGGCCAGAGGAAGCCGGGACTTAACGTCGTGTGCTTCCCAAAACAGTGTATGCGGATGAGAATTTGGATGCCCTCTCCAGGCCATAGAGGTGCTTGGACAATGTGGCCTCTCTCTTGATTGGCTACTCCAAGCCTGGTCCTCTGCTTCTCGCCTGGTCAGTGTGGCCATTGCAGCAGCAGGCTGCAGCTTCTAGCTTCCCCCTTTGGCCAGCTTTCAGTTCTAGCAGCCAGGCGCCACAACCAGTGCTCAGAAGAACATGAGAGAAGCCAATGTTGGATCAGGCTAATGGCCCATCCATTCCAACTCTCTGTGTCACACAGTGGCCAAAAATACCAGTTGTCCTCAGGAGCTCCAGCAGTGGGGCCAGAACTCCAGAAGGCCTCCCACTGTTGCCCCCCCAAGCACCACTGTTGCTCCCCCTAAACTGTGGCATCTTGTGAGCAAAAATTCTACTTTGTGAGCTCCTGGCATTAAAGTCATGAGCGAACGATTTGGCTACTGCATAAACTAGATTGCTCTGGAGCCCTCCTTCCTGAGCTAAGACAAAAATGTGTGAGCCGGAGACTAAAAAACTGTGAACTAACTCACACTAACTCGGCTCAGAGGGAACACTGTTCCTCAGTGGAACTGGCTTTCTCAGGAGGTGGTGGGCTTTCCTCTCCTTTGCAGGTTTTTAAGCAGAGGCTAGACGGGCATCTGACAGACATCCAGATTCTGTGAACTTAGGTAGATTGTGAGAGGGAGGGCAAGAAAGGGACCTTTCAATACTCACAGTAACTCAGCTTAGAGGGAACACTGGCCCACAACCCTGTTGCCTGAGAAGACACCCTTCGGGGACAGCAAAAGCCCAACGTTTTCAGAAGTGAGCTGTGTTGGTCTGCAGTAGAACTGCTGTATTCGAGTCCCGTGGCACCTAAGAGACCAACAACGTTTGTCTCTGTGATGCTGCTGGACTCGAATCTAAGCCCAACAGAGAAGCTGTGATCAGTTTCGGGGGGGTGGAGGGAGACGGGGATTGGTGACGGGGACACAAAAAAATGTCCTAAGTGTCTGGAGCTTGATCGCTCAGCTTCCTGAATGGAGAAAGCCGCAGGAAAAGGACAAACGTCTCCTACCAGTTCTCACACTGCTCTTGTTTGTTCCAGTGCAAGCGAGCCCGCTCAGTGGATTGCGTCCGTGTTAATTAGCGTGTGTGTGTGGGTGGCACGCTTTTACACTTTCCACATCAGTTGTCAGCATGTCTCCAGCCAGTTCTGTCTTTTCGCAGCCCCGTTCCTTGCGTGAACATTTATGCGTGTGTGTGTGTGTTTATGTGCAATCAAGAAAGAAACAGGGGGAGAGCATACCTGACTTCCATGTGCCTTTCTCTCTCCTCCTCCTCCCCCCAAACCACAGGGAAATATCTGCGACAAAAGCGAATAGACTTCCAGCTGCCCTACGACATTCTCTGGCAATGGAAACACAACCAGGTACGGGACCAGAAGTTAAACGTTAGGAGATGCCAGGATCGTGTTCCAAGATAACTGGGGAAGAGCTGAACAGCTTACTTTGTGGCTGTGTTGGTGTTTGCCGTGCATCTTTTGCTCATTGGGGGGGGGGGATTCTTGAATATATATTTAATGCAAACAATTTCTATTCCCTTCCTTTCTCCCCCACCCCCCCTTCTCCACACCCTTGCAAAATAGCAGCCGTTCACCTCTCAGGAAGCATCCGCCCTTAATCCTATTGGGGACTTTTATTCTGGTAGCGCTCTTGGCTTCTTCTGCAGCGATTTTTTTTTTTTTTTGACACGCCTCTGGAGAATTCAGATGTTCTGCCAACAGCACTGAAAATTTTCAGACCTTATTTTTCTTGGATCAGGTCCCAGGCAGAATGGGGTTTTATTTTTATTTCTCCCTCTCTCCTCCCCCCCCTCTTTTTTTTTCCACTTAGAAGCTGAAGTTTTTTGGACCAGAAGGAAAGCAGGGAACGGTCTCCCTGTCTCCTGTGTTCTTTATAAAGAGCTTTCATTTGTCCATGTGCAAATCTAAAAATAGGGAGGCGTTTCGCCTGACAATAAAGGTTTCCTCCGAAAGAGGTAGCAGCGGGATTTGACTAGGAGGGTAGTAGTTCAGTTCCTGTGGAACCTGGGGGGAAATGACCTCTGGAAGGTGGTCTTCCTTTGCAGATTTTGTTCTTTTTTCTTTTTTGAAAGGGTGATGCTTCTTGTGTATGCACACACACCTCTGTCTCTTGCTATCCTCTGCATTCCCCCACCTTTGCTTTCTGTTAGCAGGGTAGCACATGGATCGCAGGCACAAGGCCTTAGGTTCAGTCTTTGGCATTTCCAGTTAAAAGGTAGTTTCAGGTAGGGGGAAGGGCCTTTCTCTTCCTGAGACCCTGGGAGCTGCTGCGTATTGGAACAGGCAGTACTGGACTAGGTGGATTTATGGTCTGACTTGGTAGAACAAATGTAAAGAAAACAGTCGTGAGAGTCTGACCCACTGATCAAGCAGTCAACAAGACTTGCCAAGAAGACGCTTTCTGTATATTATGGTCAACAAGCACTCCGACGCAATAAACAAATTCCTTCAAATCATAAGAAAATCCTAGTGTAAAAACACATCATCAACGTCGTCTCCGGATCATACAACGTTTCAAAATTGGATTTTACAATTGGATTGTACAAAAATACAATTCTTTAGAATATGTACAATGCGAACAATGAAAAACAGTATAAAATCCAAATACAGTCTTACTTACAGAGTAGTACAAAAGCTCTCTCACACTACAGAATATTTCCTGAGGAAAATCCGATTTTGAAACGTTATGTGATCCGGAGACGACGTTGATGATGTGTTTTTACACTAGGATTTTCTTATGATTTGAAGGAATTTGTTTATTGTATTGTAATGCCTGTTGACCATAATATACAGAAAGCGTCTTCTTGGCAAGTCTTGTTGACTGCTTGATCTGTGGGTCAGACTCTCACGACTGTTTTCTTCACATTTGTTCTCTGATTAGGTCGTGATCGTCCACACTTGTCTTCTGACTTGGTAGAAGGCAGCTTCACATGTTGCCAGTGTGGTCAGAGCGTCCATTGAAGATCTGGGAGGCTCAGGTTCGAATCCCCACGTTGCCACAGAAGCTTGCTGGGTGACCTTGGGGCCCAAGCCATGTTCTCTCAGCCTAACTTGCTTCACAGAAAAGAGCCAGAGTCCAGTAGCACCTTAAAAGACCAGGGGTCATTTCGTAGAAAAAGAGCTAGGGGAACTCATTAGCATAACTCATTAGCATATGCCACACCCCCTGACATCAGGGGGCCGGCGGTGGACCTGCAAGGTCAGCGGGAGTGCGAGGAAGACCCGCCAAGGCCCTCCCTGGCCCCAGGCAGGCAGGGGTGGGGAGAGGCGGGGAGGAAGCAACTTACCCTCCCTCTTCTCCTGCCTCCTCCTGGCTGAATGAGGGCCGGAAGCGGGGCGGCCGGAAGCAAGGGGAGGGGCTTCGTCATGTGCCCCGCCCCCATACCTCACCCACGGGAACTGCGTTCCCCCGCGATCCCCCCCGAAATGACCTCTGTAAAAGACTAACAAAATATGTGGCAGGGGGAGGAGCTTTTGTGAGTCACTGCTCACTTCTTCACGAAAGCTCCTCCCCTGCCACAAATTTTTGTTAGTCTTTAAGGTGCTACTGGACTCTTGCTCTTTTCTACTGCTACAGAGAGACTAACGCGGCTACCTGTCTTGATCTTGCTCCACAGAGAATAAAATGGAGAAGGGGCAAGAACAGCATTAGGCATTTTGGAGAGAAAGGCCCAGGGGATGAATGAAGTAAATAAATGAATATGTTTAGTTTTGATACAGAAGGGCCCGCCTCAGTGGTTGAGTGTCTGCCTTAACACAGTCCCGGGTTCAGTCCCAGGCATTTCCAATTCAAAGGATCTCCCATAGCCTGTGCCTGGGAAGGAGGAGGCACACCTACGAAGTTTTATTTATTTATTTATTTATTTTTATTTATTTAATTTCTATCCCGCCCTCCTCGCTCGGGCTGGCTCAGGGCGGCTTACAGGTTATATAAATATATATATATATATTAAAGCAGCAAAATAAGTTAAAGCATAGTATTTAAACCACAACATATAAATTCGTAAAATCATAAGTGCCAGTGACATAGATATCAATAAGAGCTAATAAGTGCTGTCGGTCTGCTCTCGGCATCCAGACGGTCAGTTACCACCGCAGTCTGGGCTCCTGCCAGGCTGTTAAATCAGTGCCAATGTTTGGGCCAGACAGATTCAGGATATTGGTCCACATAGCAGAGTACTCTCTTCTGACTGGCGGGAACTCTCTGGGTAGGGTTGCCATCCTCCAGGTGACCCGTGGAGACCTCCCAGTATTGCACTTGGTCTCCAGACAACCAAGATCAGTTCCACCGGAGACAATGGCTGCTTTGGAGGGTGGACTGTATGGCATTTTACTCTGCTAAGGTCCCTTGCCTCCCCCTCCCCGGGTTCTAAACCCCCCCCCCAATCTCCAAGTATTTGGCAACCCTATTTCCGGGGTCTCAAGCAGGGAAAGGTCTTTCCTAACCTTGGTATTGTAAATTGGGGATCCTGTAAAATTCAAAATGTGCGTCTGACCACTGAGCCTTGAGACCTTCCCATTGGTCCGTCTAGCCCAGCGTTGCCTGCACCGACTGGCAGCAGCGTCCCAAGATCTTGGGTGCGAGGTCTTTCCCTGTTCGTAAAGTGCCTTCTGAGTCGGGCCCTTAGAGCATCTACGTCAGTCCGTTCGGTCTGACTGGCAGCAGTTCCCTCCGGGGCCTTAGGCAGAGGAACGTCGTTCTCCCACAGAGCTCTGGTGGCATAAAAGCTGCCCGAGAAGCGGTGGCCCTTCATTGCCCTCTGCTAGCAGGAATCAAAATGTTTCCTTATGGAAAAAAGATGAATAGCTTCCCCTTTATTTCCTTCTGGAGGGTGACTTTCACGCTGCAACATAAAAGGAACCGTTTTTCTTTTCTCTCCCTCTCTCCCCAGCTGTATAAAAAGCCAGACGTCCCGCTTTACAAGAAAATCCGTTCTAGTAAGTAGCCTTTGGTTTGTATAACGCTCAGCTTTGTGGTCTCCCGGTTGCGTTGTCTCCCCACTAATGACCTTGACCGCACTCCACTTTGACCTCCGGGCGGTCCTCCTGTTTTTTCAGCCCCCCCCCTCCTTTGCATTTCCTCCCGAGCAGGGCAAGGCAGAGGCCTTGTAAATCAGTAGGCTCCGCTCCACAAATTGATATTGGGTTTTTGTTGTTGTTGTTGTTCTTGCCTTCCGATGACCTGCAGACGTTTATGTGGACGTGAAACCTCTTTCTGGTTACGAGGCCACCACTTGTAACTGTAAGGAACCAGAAGATGGGGACAAGAAGGGCTGTATGGATGACTGTTTGAACAGGTAAGACAGCGGCCGGTGAAACAGGAAAGCACTGTAGCTGGACGTCTCCTTATATTAAAAAGGCTCTGTGTGTAGACAAGAAGCGTCTTTGGGAGAGTCATAGAGCTTGGCTGTAAATCCTAAAGTATTTCTCTCAGACTGGTAGAGGTTGTATGCCCCCTCTGATTAAGAACATAAGAGAAGCCAGTGTTGGGTCAGGCCAGTGGCCCTCCCAGTCCAACGCTCTGGGTCACACAGTGGCCCAAACCCAGGTGCCATCAGGAGGTCCACCAGCGGGGCCAGAATTCCAGAAGCCCCTCCCACTCTTGATCCACCAAGGATACAGAGCGTGACTGCCCCAGACAGAGTGTTCCATCTGTACCTTACAGCAAATAGCTACTGATGGACCTCTGCTCCATATAAGAACATAAAGAGAAGCCATGTTGGCTCAGGCCAATGGCCCACCCAGTCCAACACTCTGTGTCACACAGTGCGCAAACCCCAGGTGCCATCAGGAGGTCCACCAGCGGGGCCAGAACTCCAGAAGCCTTCCCACTGTTGCTCCCCCCAAGTACCAAGAATACTGATCATCGCTGCCCCAGACATAATAACACAAGAGAAGCCATGTTGGCTCAGGCCAATGGCCCACCCAGTCCCAACACTCTGCGTCACACAGTGCGCAAAACCCAGGTGCCATCAGGAGGTCCACCAGCGGGGCCAGAACTCCAGAAGCCCTCCCACTGTTGCCCACTGTTGCCCACTGTTGCCCCCCCCCCCCCAAGCACCAAGAATACAAAGCATCACTGCTCCAGACAGAGTGTTCTGTCTATATCTTGTGGCCAATAACCACTGGTGGACCTCTGCTCCATATGTTTATCCAATCCCCTCTTGAAGCCGTCCATGCTTGTCGCCGCCATCACTTCCTGCAGCAGTGAATTCCACGTGTTAATCACTCTTTGGGTGAAGGAGTCCTTCTTTTTATCTGTTCGCAACCTACTGCTGATCAATTTCATTGAGCACCCACAAGTTGTGAGAAAGGGAGAAAAGTAATTCCCACTCTGCCGTGGAAGTCCTTGGTGGATGACCTTGGGCCAGTCACATATTCTCAGCCCAGTCCACCTCACAGGGTTGTCGTGAGGATACAGTGGAAGAGAGGAGAATTACGTAAGCCATTTTGTGGCCCCACTGTAGAGAAAAGTGGGGGAATGAATTAATTTTTTTAAAAAGATAGTTGTGGGAAGCTTAGAAGTAGATTTTTTATCTCAAATACTTAATCAACCGCACAATTTTTCTGATAGTGACAAGCCTAACAGAGGCGCCGCCATGGCCTCCTGCTGTGTAGCGACCCCAGTCTTCCTTGGTGGCCTCCCATCCGAGTCTAACCAGGGCCAACCCCTGCATCGCTTCCCAGATCTGACAAGATTGGGCACTGCGTAATGGTTTGTCCCCTATATTCGGATCTCAGCAGTAGATTTTTTATCTCAAATACTTAATCAACCGCACAATTTTTCTGATAGTGACAAGCTAATTTTTCTGTTGTCAGACGTGAATCCTTTGGTATCTTATAAGGTAGCACTTTCTGCGTTAGCAGCCAGGAAAACGAGAGCAAAGGTGGTTCTTAGGAACGCCGTTTACTGAGATGCAAGGGCATTAACATTGTTACGATTGGGACTGGAATTTGTAAATGTTATGTACAATTTTAATTTGAGGTATTTTAGATATTGCACAAATGAATTTAATTCTCACTGAATTTAATAACTGTGTATTTTAAGCTATTAGGTATCCAGTTTTATATAAAATTGTGACGGCCAGTGGCCACATACAATGAACTTTCTATTCAGACAAGATTGGGCTGGCCTGGCCCATCCAGATTAGGGCTGAATAACTTTTGTTTAGCCATCAAGTCGCAGCCGACTTAACAGTGACCTTGTCGGGTTTCCAAGGCAAGAGGCTTCCAGAGGTGGTTTGCCATGGCCTGCCCTCTGCATTGTGACCTTGGACATCTTGGCAGTCTCCCATCCAAATACTGACCGGGGCTGACCCTGCCTAGCTTCTGAGATCTGACGAGATCGGACTAGCCAAGTCAGGGCAATAATTGCTGTGTCTGCTGTAAGCATGTACAGGACTCAAGTCTGATGTGCATTTCTGCACCTAGAGGGGGCTGCCGTCTTCATGGTGTTAGAACCCACAGCCAACAACGAAGTGCACGCATTCAGGAACGGTAATACTTTTATTGCAGAGCTATAGATGCAGTAACATAAGCAGTGTTAAGAATGGCGGCGGCCCCATGGACATAATAGGATATAGGGTATTCGTATCCACCACCACCCACAGCACTGGCCAATTAGGAACCCTCCTGCGCTTGGAAGACCGTTAGGTAGCTAAAGCTGAGAACCAGCACTCTCCCACGGCACCTAGGAAAAACCCAGACAATACAACTCCCTCCTGCACATCTGTATAGATAAGCATTTCGGCGCAAAGCAGAAAAAGCACAGAAAGGAATGCAGTAGCAATTAACCAGACACAGACCGAGCTCCCCAACCTTCATGGCAGCATAGCTGACACATGGGAGGAATGTACAGGGTCGTTTTTGCTTGTGGATTGTTACTTGTCTTCTTCTGGTGATATGAGAAATAAATGTGCTCCGGTAGCATAGGGTGCAGCGGTTGGCAGCACTCCCCCCCCCCCCTGCAGTTTTACTTGCAGGCAGTGCTCCCTCTAAGTTGTGGAGTCTTGTGGGCAAAAATTCTCCTTTGTGAGCTACTGGCATTAAAGTTGTGACCAAGCGATTTGGCTCCTGCGTAAATTAGTTTCCTCTGGAGCCATCCTCCCTGAGCGAAGGCAAAAAATGTGTGGGCCGGAGGCTAAAAAACTGTGAGCTACCTCACACTAACTCAGCTTAGAGGGAATACTGCTTGCAGGTAATGAAGACCTTTGTACTTTTAAAAATATACCAAGTATAGTACAGGTTTTTTTAAAAAAAAAATAAAGATTTTATTGGCTCCCCTAAAAAGGGGAGGTATTTCGCTTAAAAGAAAAAATGGGAAGGGTAGACAGTGGGAGAAAGAGAAAGCTGAGTGATATATAAACTGGTAAATTAAACTGTTAGTAATGTCCAATTAAACTTCTTGAGCTTCTTCTCTGTGTTGTCAAACTTCATTTCTTGGTCCGGTCACATGTAATTCTCTGTTAGTATGTTAGTAATGTTCCTTTGAATTTCTGTTAATAAAAAAAGTCTCTTCTGGGCGCATTCAGAACCGCTTCTTTGCGTGCTGGGTACTTTTACTGTCGCTTACGTGGAGGAGCTTCCTCTGTTATCTTCTCCTTCCGGCTTGTTCGGTCGTCCTTCGGGTTGCTGTTAACACTCTCAGTTCACGCACTATAAGTTAAACTGCCTTTATTGATGGCTGGATTGGATTAGTGATACTTAAAGGTTGCCCAAATGTATAGCTGGAAATGGTTGAAATTGCCTTGACAAAGTATCCTTTGGAGCAAGGGATATGATTGTTATTAGGCATACCCTGGAGCTTAGCATTAAAAAGGGGTTTTTTTGTTATTGAAAACAATATGCCACTTGAGATGGGGGAGATTGTATTTAATCAGTTTATAATTCCAGCACATCCTTCCTGTCTTGGGATTTCTCAATGTCATTGCTGAACCCAGGTACCTTCATGTGACTCCCCAAGTTTCAGGTCCCCTGGCACTTAGGCTCTAAAAAGGGATGCCTATTAAAACAACTAAAAAGGGGGGGGGGAACCCAACTAACCATGGGGTCTTGGCTGGAGGAGGGAGTGAGGTCCTTACAAGATAGTGATCCCTCCCTCCTGCCCCATGTTTTTTGTTCCATGTCTTTGTATGTATTTTAGCTCTGGTTTAATGATGTGTTTTTGGGGTAGGGAGGTAATAGTTTTAAAATGTGATTTTATTGTGCACATTTTAATTTGTTAGCCACTTTGGTGGCCCTTGTGGTGATAGGAAGGTGGGATATAAATTTTGTAAATAATTAAAAACATACAACCAAACCATTAAAAACCCAGCCAATAAAAGCTGAGGGAACTAAGTCATCAGAGTGTGGGCAGTGTTCAATATGTTACCCTATCATCGTCGTTATTATCATCATCATCGAGTTAGGCACAAACTGAGAAACGAACTGTGGTTCAAGCATGAATCAGGCCCCTTCATGGTTCATTTTGAACCAATTAAGAGATCTTGGGGCCGTAGCAGATAGCTCAAATGAAAGTGTCCACCCGCCGTGCTGCAGCGGTGAAAAAGGCAAACTCTGTGTTAGGGGTTATTAGGAAAGGAATTGGGAATAAAAGGGCCGATATCGTAACGCCTCTGTGTAGGTCTGTGGTGCAGCCTCATTTGGAATACTTTGTGCAGTTCTGGTCACTGTATCTCCAAAAGGACATTGTGGAGCTGGAGAAAGTACAGAGGAGGGCGACCAGGATGATTAGGGGGTGGGAGCACCTTCCCTGTGGAGGAAGGCTGACGAAGTTGGGACTTTTCAGTTTAGAAAGAGATGACTAAAGGGGGACACGATAGAGGTTTATAAAATTATGCATGGGGTGAAGAGAGTGGGCAGAAAGAACTTTTTCTCCCTCTCCCAAAATTGTAGAACCTGAGGGCATCCAATGCAGCTGCTGGGCAGTAGGTTCAGGATGGACAAAAGGAAATACTACTTTATACAGAGAATAACTAAAAGGTGGAATTCGCTGCCAGAGGATGTATTAATGGCCACAGGAATGGGACTTGATAGGTTCATGGAGGATAAGTGTTTCAATGGCTACTAGCCATAGTGACTGAGGGGAACCTCCACATTCAGAGGCACTAAGCCTGTGAATACCAGAGGCAGCATCAGGGAAAGGCCTCTCTGCCCTGTTGTTGGCCCTCCAGAGGAACTGGTTGAGGCCACTGTGCGAGGCGGGATGCTGGGCTAGATGGACCCTCACTGGTCTGATCCAGCAGGGCTCTTCTGATGTTCTTATGAGGGGAAGGCCTCGGCCTCTCTGCCCTGTTGTTGGCCCTCCAGAGGAACTGGTTGAGGCCACTGTGGGAGACGGGATGCTGGACTAGATGGACCACTGGGTCTGATCCAGCAGGGCTCTTCTGATGTTCTTATGAGGGGAAGGCCTCGGCCTCTCTGCCCTGTTGTTGGCCCTCCAGAGGAACTGGTTGAGGCCACTGTGGGAGACGGGATGCTGGACTAGATGGACCACTGGGTCTGTTCCAGCAGTGCTATTCTGATGTTCTTGTTTTCTTTAAGTTGTAAAGGTTGCATTTTATGTCTAAAGCAGTAAAACCCATTTGGCAAGAAAGTATTGCATATATTTTCAGGTTCCCCAAAACTTCTGTCCCCCTTTCCCCACAAAAAACAGCATCTCCCCCCCCCGCCCCAGTTTCAAAATCCCTGCAGTGTTTACATGTCTATTATGAGACACATACCCACCAGATTGAAGTGCTGTAATTCAGCCCATGTTATTCGTTTAGTGAATGAAAAGGGGAGATTGGGGGGGGGGGGAAATGACCCCGGTGGAGAAAGGGGTTAGGCAGTTGATCTTCACGAGACTCCGCCTGGCAACCCTGATTTTGGTTTCATTATGAGAAAAAAGAATCACCGCAGAAAAACAATAACTTGAGTTCAGCACAGAGTTTAGTTGGAGCCTTAGTACATGCTTAATGTATGTTTGTATCCCAGATATTTATACCCCTCACGTAATCGTGGCTTTACAGCGGGGTTAAAAATACAACAGATGAACAGAATAAATAGGATACAGGAGTTTGTCCTGAAACACAGGCCAAAGCATCCTAAATGATTAAAAAAACAGCGATATAAAATCCCAAATTACATTTCTAAGGTTAAAAGGAAGCAATATACGCCAGGAGCAATAACATCATTAAAGCAGTGTCTCCCAAACCAGCAGATCGATAATAAAAGCATCAGGGTAATCACAAAAACGGGGCAAATGTAATACTTAAGCTTGTTGGGAAAGTAACCTGCCACAGCAGAGAGCTTGTAAATGTACGGGCGGCCCCCTGCTATCCGCAGCCCCTCACTTCCCCGTCCTGCTGCTTTCAGGATGATCTTTGCCGAGTGCTCGCCCAACACGTGCCCCTGCGGGGAGCAGTGCTGCAACCAGCGGATCCAGAGGCACGAGTGGGTGCAGTGCTTGGAACGCTTCCGGGCCGAGGAGAAGGGCTGGGGCATCCGCACGAAGGAGCCCCTGAAAGCCGGGCAGTTCATCATCGAGTACCTGGGAGAAGTGGTCAGCGAGCAGGAGTTCAGGTAAGGGGTCGGGCAGGGAAGGCCGCTCCCGGGATGGCCCCGAAGGCGGGCGGGACCATTCCTCAGAAAGGATGGGGGCGAAGCGTCTGCCGGCCCCGCCGCTGAGCGATTCTCTCCCCGCGACTCCCCAGGAACCGGATGATCGAGCAATACCACAACCACAGCGACCACTACTGCCTCAACCTCGACAGCGGGATGGTGATCGACAGCTACCGCATGGGGAACGAGGCCCGCTTCATCAATCACAGCTGCAACCCGAACTGCGAGATGCAGAAATGGTAAGTGGGGAAAGAGCATGAGAGAGAGAGAGAGAGAGAGAGAGAGAGAGTGAGTGAGTATTGGCGTGGGAATAGCGCTACAGTTGCCCTGATGACCTTTCTGGAGGCGAGTCGGCACATCTCAGCCTAATCCTGCCTTGCAGAGGAAGGGGTAAAAGGCCACAACTGTGCACCCTCCTTTATTTGTTTTATTTATTTGTCATTCATGGTCCACCTTTCGCACTTAGGCTCAGGGCAGATCATACAGTCAGTACGATGGACTGAGGACTAAGTGCCAGATCTGAACCCCGGCAGACCTGGTGAAGGGAGCTCTTGACGCTTGAGAGCTTCTACCCTGGGAATCTTGTTGATCTCCGAGGTGCTGCTAGACCCGAACCTGGCTCTTCTGTTGCAGAACCACTCCCTGAAACTGTTATCTCTAGAGGACTACGTTAGGGTGGCCAGATGTATGTCCTTTTTAAAAAGAACATGTCCCCCTTTTTTGGTGTAGTGGTGAAGTGTGCGGACTGTAATCTGGGAGAAGCGGGTTTGATCCCCCACTCCTCCACTTGCAGCTGCTGATGTGACCTTGGGCAAGCCATAGTTCTGATAAGAGCTGTTCCCTCAAGGACAGTTCTGTCAAGAGTTCTCTCAGCCCCACCTACCTCACAGGGTGTCTGTTGTGGGGAGGGGAAGGGAAAGGAGTTTGTAAGCCGCTCTGAGACTCCGAGCGAAGGGCGGGGTATAAATCCAAAAACCTCCTCCTCCTCCTCCTCCTCCTCCTCCTCCTCCTCCTCTTCTTCTTCTTCTTCTTCTTCTTCTTCTTCTTCTTCTTCTTCTTCGCTCTTTTAAAAAAACTGATCAAAATGTCCTTTTTTGGAGGTTGGAAGATTAGGACTATTCCTAGTTAGTAGCAATTGTCACAGCTTAAACAGCAGGGGTATTAGTTTTGTCACACTGATCGCTTGTTAAAGTAGTCAGTCGGGAAATACGTCCTCTCTTTGCTTTTCAAAATATGGCAACCCTAAGAAAGTAAGGCACAAAGAAGTAAAGCTCAGGGCCGGGCCAGGGAATGAACCGTGATTCAGCAGCAGAGCCACCCCCACACAGAAGGTTCAGCCCCATCGTCTCCAGCTAGAGTGGATCTCACAGCCAAGAGAAGCAGGTCTTAGGAAGGGCCCTTCTTGGACTGCAAGTCAAGAGCTCCTGCCAGGCAGAGCAGATGGCGCTGCTCTAAACGGGCTGCTGGTCCTGACCAAGCAGAGGTCCCCTTCACAACAACTCCCGGTCCCATCCCCCCCCCCCCAACAAACCATAGTTTGTGCTCTCAGAGTGCATTCATAGAAACAAAGCGGGAAGGGACCCCAGGGGTCATCTAGTCCAACCCTTGGCACAATGCAGAAAGTCCACAGCGACATCCCCGTACCACTTCTATGCCCAGTCCTGATGAACGGATAGTGCTTCTTAGAGTCCGGAAGGCAACGGTTAGCTTTGATAATGTGCAGGTGTTAACACAACTGCCTTACTGTGTCAGAACAAAAGTTCGTCTGGTCCAGCGTTCTCTTACCAGCGGTGGCCAATCAGGAGCTCACAGGAAGGCAACAGGGGCAACGGCCTCTCCTTGTTGCCTGCCAGCATTCCAAGCGATGCTTCCTCTACCCAAGGAGACTTCATTGAGTTACCACAGCTAGTAGTAACCAAGGAAAGACCTCTACTTGAATTTGAACCCTTTTTTTAAAAAAAAAAGCCACCTAAGCCAGTTGCCTGCACCGCAGCAAGAGGTGAGGAACTGTGCACTGTTTACCAGGAGCCTCCCTTTGCTCATTTTCATCTAGACATGGAGCCCAGCAGCAGGGCCTTCTTCTGTGCTTGCCCTCCCAGAAGCTCACTGGTATCTTGATTTTTGGTGTTGTCTCCTCTTTGTGCACCCCACCCTGGCTGGGTGAGGACACCCCTTCAGCTCCTGCCCCGTGCCATAAGAACCTCAGAAGAGCCCTGCTGGATCTGACCAGTGATGGTCCCTCGAGTCCAACATCCCGTCTCGCACAGGGGCCTCGACCACTTCCTCTGGAGGGACAACAACAGGGCAGAGAGGCCGAGGCCTTCCCCTGATGTTGCCTCCTGGCTCTGGAGGTTCCCCTCAGCCACCATGGCTAGTAGCCACTGATAGACGTATCCTCCATGAATCTATCTCATCCCCTTTTAAAGTGTCCTAATGCACCGCACTGCAGCGGAGATACAGAACAAAGACTGAGCAAGAGTTGAGACCAGGAGTGCCTTCCAGACCAGTGAGATTTTCCAGGGGCGTAAGCACTCGAGCATCAAAGCTCCCTCCATCGAATACCTGTATCAGTTTGCCACCTGTGTGAGGTTGATGGCTTTCTGCTCCCTGCACCTGCACGCGGTGCCTTCTGTGAAGATCGTTTCAGATGGCTAGCCGTGTCGGTCTGCGGTAGAGAAGCTAGACCTGAGTCCAGTAGCACCTTAGAGACTAAGAAGATTTCCAGGGCAGAAGCTTTCGAGAGTCAGAGCTCCTCTTGTCCAAGGCTAGGTCTGCAATCAAGGCAGACTACGATGGGTGCTTCCTCCTTCCAAGGTGCCCCCCCCCCCGGGTTCAGGCTGCTCCCCCCACTATGTTACCAGAGCTCCTTCATACCTGTCTGTCTGATGTAGTGGTTAATTGTGCGGACTCTAATCTGGGAGAACCGGGTTTGGTTCCCCACTCCTCCACTTGCATCTGGCTGGATGACCTTGGGCAAGCCGTAGTTCTGACAAGAGCTGTTCTTGAAAAAGAGCAGTTTCTTTTCCAAAATCTTTGTATTTTCTCGCACTTCCACCATATATGGAAGTACGTTCCTATGTTATTCCTAAAAGACATTACACGGATAGACTTAGCGATTACACCGGAAATTTTTCTACTAAATATCGTACCTGAAGGACTAAAATATAATGAAACATGTATTATTGTATATGTGATTACAATGTCAAGAATATGTATTGCAAAAATTGGAAGTCAGATAAAATACCGAGTAAGGATGACTTGATTAGCATTCTTTTTGAAGTAATGGAAATGGATAAGTTAAATATGGTTTTGGCGGGAAAAACAGAGGAGAAATTTAAACAGAAATGGCAAAATGCCATAAAATGGTATGAAGAAAAGATGTAATGTTACCCCCCAATTGTTAAAAAAACAAGAGACAATTGTATGTAAGTTATGGAAAACTGAAAATAATAATAATTTAAAAAGAGCAGTTTCTGTCAAGAGCTCTCTCAGCCCCACCTACCTCTGACACGGTGCCTGTTGTGGGGAGGGGGAGGGAAAGGAGTTTGTAAGCCGCTCTGAGACTCCTTTGGGCAGTGAAGGGCGGGGTATAAATCCAATCTCTTCTTCTTCTCCCTGCAGGTCCGTCAACGGAGTCTACCGGATCGGGCTGTACGCGCTGAAGGACATGCCCGCTGGCACCGAACTAACATACGACTACAACTTCCATTCCTTCAACGTGGAAAAGCAGGTGGGGGGGGGGACATCCCGGTGGTCTCAGAAGGAGCTTGGGCAAAGCGATTTGTGTTGTTTCTAGACCCTTTGTCCACTTATTCCGTGTTGGTGGGAATCGGGTGTGAGTTCTGTGCTCCTTGAGCCTTCGCCATGTGGGGTGGTGCAGAATTAGGCATCCTGGAAAACCTCACTGAAAAGGGGAAAAAAACAAGCAAGCCTGTTGTGTTGAGAAGTTGCCAGCCAGGGGCTGGTGGCCATTTTTGGTTCTCTCTCTGCGGGGATCAGTTTAAACCGCCCCACGAAGTCGGCCCAGTCAAATAAATTCCTTGCCAGCAAAATGCTTGTCTTGCAGAAGGGAACTGTAGAGCAGGCTGCGGGAAGGTTATTCCGCATGTCTCTGTTGCCCAGTTAGGAAGGCGGTTCTTGGTTAACCTCTCCCTTGGGTGGTAAGTTGGCACCGGAGGAGGGGTAGCCAGGGGATGGTTGGTGGCCTGTTTTTGTTTTTTTTTAATCAATGGCGCCCTTGCTTCTCCATCTCTTCAGCAACTCTGCAAGTGTGGCTTTGACAAGTGCAGAGGCATCATCGGGGGGAAGAGCCAGCGAATGAACGGCCTCCTGAGCAAAACCAACCAGCCAGTCACCTCCCAGAGGAGGCCCAGCCGGTCCAAAGAGAAGAGGAAATCGAAGCACAAGTTGAAGAAGAGGGTGAGTTGTGGAAACGAGGCTGCGTTGGGTGTTCCGCAGACTCAAGTAGCCTAGTTTTAAACGGCAGGCATAGGAGGTGGGCTCGCAACTGGGGATGTGGTTCCGGGGAAGGTGGATCCCAGCTCTTCCCAGAGTGCTGTTTCCTTGATTGAAACCACCTTCTGGTAACCCGTGCAGGAATGAAAGATGGTTAAAGACAGAGCACCTGTCTTTTCCCCTGTACTGGGGAGGAGCTGTGGCTCAGGGGCGGAGCCTCTGCCTGGCGTGCAGAAGGTCCCAGGTTCAATCCCCGGCATCTCCAGTTAAGGATCAGGTAGTAGATGATGAGAAAAGACCCCCACCTGAAACCCTGGAGAGCCACTGCCGGCCTGAGTAGACAACACTGACCTTGATGGAGCAATGGTCTGTTCCTGCGTAAGGCAGCTTCATGTACCCGGCTGGATATTAGGGGGGAAAGTTTTGACAGTCAGAGTGGTGCAACAGTGGAATGGGCTGCCGGGGGGGGGGGGGCGTGCTCCCCCTCCCTGGCCGTCTTGAAGCAGCGACTGGACAGACACTTGCCAGCATGCTCTCCCAAACTTATTTGGCCTACCGCCCCCTTTTCAGAAATTGTTTTTGCAAATGCATGGCTGTAATTGGCTGTGCGGAACCCTCTCCACCTCCCTCCCTGATCCCAGGGAAGACCTGGAGAAGGCAGGAAAAGGCTGCTTTAGATAGGTTCTGGACTCTTCTTTCTTTATGCTTCCACCACCCCCTTATTTTTATTTAGGTAAAGGTAAAGGTTCCCTTGCTCAAAAGCCAGTCGAATCCGACTCTAGGGTTGCGGTGCTCATCTCCGTTTCCAAGCCGAAGAGCCAGCGCTGTCCGAAGACGTTTCCGTGGTCATGTGGCCGGCATGACTAAACACCAAGGCGCACGGAACGCTGTTACCTTCCCACCGAAGTGGTCCCTATTTATCTACTTGCAATTTCTTGCTTTCGAACTGCTAGGTTGGCAGGAGCTGGAACTAGAGACAGGAGCTCACCCTGTCTTGCGGCACCCGGGTCTTGAACCCCCCCAATTGCACCCAAGGCTCCTACTGCCCACCTGGATGGTTCCAGCGCCCCCCAGGGGGCGGCATTGCCCACTTTGGGAACCCGTGCTCTAGGCTGATCCTGCACTGAGCAAGGGGGTGGACTGGATGGCCTCTATGACCCCTTCCAGCTCTGTGATTCTACGATTCATGTGTGTCCTGGTTCTAATAGAAGCCTGGTGGCGGACCCCTTTCCATCAGGGAAACTGTGTGGAAATGGACCCCCTCTCTAGCACTGTGGCCCTGACCCAGCTCGCCCACTGCTGCTTTTTTAGGCTCAACTGCGCGTCAGGAAATCTAGTCACGGATCCCCAACACGATGTACAGTTGAGCTGCCCCTCTTTTTACTTCCAGATGTTCCTCCTGCCGCTTGAGTGCGAGGACTGAATTCGTGGGTGAACAGGGCTGTGTGATCCTCTCCTTGTAAAAGACGCTCCTGTACCTCACACACACACCCACACACCCACACCCGAACTATTTGTTTAAGTGGGCATTGACCTGAGTAGAGGCCTCTCTAGTATTTCCTGGGTTGTGTCTGTCTACCACAGCGAGAATTGCGGCGTTCATTCTAAGAAGTGGGTCTCTTGCAGCAGTCCCGACGGCATCCCGGCAGCATCGGTCGCGGTCCCCGTTTTATAGCAGCGGTCTGAGAATTCTTGCAGATGTGTCAGAGGGAAGAAGGGGGGTACAGTGCACTTTCTGTTCCCCACACTTCTCCTCCTCGTCCAAAATTTCGTTCTGGACATTTCCCCAGTTGGCTGTGGAAGGGCCGCTCTTGCATTTCCACTCCTCTGTGCCCTGTCGATTCCCAAATGAGATGGAGAACCATGGGGGGTAGGAAGCACAAGGCAGCTGCACTTCCTGTGCCTCCTTCCTGATGTGCACACAGCACAGCTAAAACGCTCTCCAAAAGTAGCATCTTGTCTACGGCCAGCTATCGTTCGGCTGAACCTGGGTGCCCAGCATCTGAATCCTGCCCGTCTCGATGACTTGTGTTCTGTTGTCCCAGCTTCTCTTCTCAAAGTGGGTAACGCTTTTGTTTTACAGAAGGGTCACATGCATGAGGAGCCCAGCGAAAGTTCAAGCACCCCGACGCGGTTGACACCACAGCTGCAAATGAAGCCGATGTCCAACAGGGAAAGGTGAGAAGGCCGCTTCCCCTCTGTCTGCCCGCCCCCCCGCCCGCCCCCGTTTTCCTCAGCAACTTAGGAACGAAAGCGAGTGTCCCCATTCTGAATTGCCTTTCTTGGAGCTACGTCTCATGGGAAGTAGCCTAACCTGCCCTGTGTCTTCCTGTGCTTTTCATATATATCAGACAGTAATTGTCTTCCAGACGCAACGGCAGTTAAGACGGAAGTGCAGAATGTTTCTTGGGGGGAGGAATTCACAACGGAGCTGGATTCAGCTGTGACGGAGGGGTTTCCTGTCTGCCGGGGCATCTCCTCCCGCTGAGGAAAATCTATTTTCCGGCATGTCTAGTTGTCACACCAGCAGAGAACGAACGGCATGTCCGTGTGACTCTGTAGATGCCCCACAGCAGCAGCTGTATCTTCTTCGTGGTCTCTGTGCTTCACACCAATGGGATCTAGTGCGCCTGCGCTGGATTCATCGGTGCTGTAGCAAGCTCTTTTCAAAGGATTTTCGCGCTCATTCCCTCAGGCAAGCGCAGGAGCCCCACTGCGCATGCCCAGACTCTGTAGATGCCCCACAGCAGCAGCTGTATACCGGGCAGAGCTTTGCCGGATTCGTATTGTGAGATGTCCAAGTCCACCTGGGCTGAACAGTGAAGGGGACTGAGAAATCCTGCAAGAGTCTGGAAAAGGTGGATAGGGAGAACTTTTTCTCCCATTGTGGTAGGACCCTTCAGGGTCACCCCGTCAAATCGATGGGCAAGAGATTCGGAACAGACCTGCGAATTCACAAAATGCCGAACTTCAGGGAGCTCACCGTCACAAAGCGGGTGGGATAAACACTGGCTTTAAAAGAGGATTGCCGCGAATGCATGGAGAAGGAGAGTCCTGTCAGTCGTCATTCGTCACAATAGCTAAATGGGGACACTAAACGTTCAGTGGCAGTAGTTGCTGTAGATTTTCTGGGTTGTGTGGCCGTGCTCTTGGCATTGTAGAACCTGACGTTTCGCCAGTCGCTGTGACTGGCATCCTCAGAGGTATAACAAAGAAAGAAGGAGTGCTCTCTGTGTCAAGGCGAGAAGAAAAATGGTAGGCCGGTAATTTATATATCCACTCCAGAAGGTGGGGTAGGGCTGAGTCATTATCTTGTAGGATAATGAACATTCTAATGGAGGAGCTTTCCTGAGGAGGTTCTTTTGCATGTGGACTGGTTGTTGAAATTCTAATCTTATCTGTAGTGCTGTTGTCAGATTCTAATTTTATCTGTAGTGCTGTTGTCAGATGTAGAGCCTTTTTGTGTTCAGTGGCAGTGTACCTCTGAAGCTGGGGGACAACAGCAGCCGGTTCCCATTGTGGGGGACGGGGCTCTTAGGGTCTTTCACTGCACTTCTTGGAACACAGGAACACGCTTCATCTGCCTCTGCAGAAGTAATCCTTTTTTTTTAATAAAGGTTTTATTGGCTCCCCTAAAAAGGGGAGGTATTTCGCTTAAAGGGAAAAAAAGGGTGGGGTAGACAGTGGGAGAAAGAGAAAGCTGAGTGATATATAAACTGGTAAATTAAACTGTTAGTAATGTCCAATTAATCTTCTTGGGCTTCTTCTGTGTGTTGCCAAACTTCTTTTCTTAGTCCTGTTACATGTATTCTCTGTTAGTATGTTAGTAATGTTCCTTTGAGATTCTGTTAATAAAAAGGGTCTCTTCTGTGCACATCCAGAACCGCTTCTTTGCGTGCTGGGTACTTTTACTATCGCTGAAGTGGAGGAGCTTCCTCTGTTGTCTCCGTTGTCTTCTCCTTCCGGCTTGTTAGATCCTCCTTCGGGTTGTTGTTAATACGCTCAGTTCATGTACTATAAATCCTCTTCCTTTCATGCCCCGGAGGTCCCCATTTTCGAGAATGGTATCAATTTCATTTTCGCTTTTATATTCGCTCCCAGACTCTCTATGGGTCCTCCTCGCAATTGTTGACTTATAAGCGCTTATCAGGCACTTCTCGCTGTCACAATTCCAACTTATCTTTTTTGCAAAACTCCCGTCGGATTCACAGCCATAAACAGTCCAAACATTCAACAGCCGGCTCTTACACACAAACAAACGCCCAGACGGAAGTCCCTCCCTCCTTCTCCGCTCGCTTTTGCCCAGCTCCGACATCTTTTCTTTTTTGTTTACTTTTAGAAAGTTCTTAAAATGTGCTCCAGAGAGACAAGCTTCTCGCTTTCAAATACATCAAAGGAAAACATCACTGTCCGCTCAATTCATCCCCCCCCCTCCTTTTCTTTTGCGCTTGTATAGATGGAGGATTAACCTCTTCGCCTTTTTCGCTGGGAGGGGGGGGAAACAATTTTCAGTTCTTTTTCTCTGCATTTTGACAACTCACAGTTAAGCCGATCTTTTCTTTTTCTTTTCCACTTTTGCGGATGGTCGCTTTATCACTCGGTGACGTCTGGTGGCTCCGCTAAACCCCGTTCGGGGTCGCTCACGCAGCAAGGTCCATTGGGGCAGGGCATGGCGGGAGCCTCGCTCTCCGACCTCTCGGCCGAAAGAGCGACTCCCCCCTAGTGCGCCCTAAAGCGCCCCGGATCCGAGCTCCTCTCTTCTGAGGGGCTCGTTCGGGTCTCCGCTCGCGCGGATTCCCTCCTCCACCGCGGGCGGGGGAGGCGCCCTCGGGAGCGACCCGAGGAAGCGTCCGCCATGCGCGGGAGCCAGACCGGAAGCCGCCTCTGCAGAAGTAATCCTAACCCCCTCCCCGCCCCCCCTTTCTCCCTTTCTAGGAATTTTGTGCTGAAGCATCACGTTTTCCTGGTGCGCAACTGGGAGAAAATCCGGCAGAAGCAAGAGGAAGTCAAACACGCCAACGACAACCTTCACTCCGCCTCGTTGTACACGCGCTGGAACGGGATGTGCCGGGATGATGGCAACATAAAATCCGGTGAGGGCCATGGATGCAGGGAAATGAGAAAGGGACGGCAGGATTCATGGAGACACACACACGTACCCCGCCGCAAGTTTCATTTTTGGTTTGGCCCAATAATTTGTAGTCCATTCCCAGCAAATCAGTAGGTCCAGCACGACTGTGTTTACTGTCCTGGCTGCCCACATGTGCTCGTTCCAAGGGGATGACAGCCACAGTTGTCTGTGACAGGAAAAACAAACAGCTGTCTCTTTGTCCATATGTATATTTCTTTATTTCATATACATAAATAAAACAGACATAAATAAAAACATGGGGTAGAGATTTCAAATCTTATCCAATAAGTTTGCCTTATCTATGCTATTCATTACATGTTCATATACTTTTTCGGTAGTGTCGCTTTTTTTTTTACAGGATAATATAGTTTTCATACATATCTTTCCTCAAGTTTTAATTATATGCCGTATTTAAGTTGTCATAGTTTCCAATCCAATTATAAAATTTTGACCACATATTCTCAAATATCTCTAATTTTCCAGAAATAACAAAAGTTTATCAATTTCTGCTGTTTCCAGTATTTTGTTAATGATTTCACTTTTAGTTGATAGTTCTGTTCTCTTCCAATATTTGGCATACAATATTCTGGCAGAGGTAGCTACATGCAATATAAAATATAAGTCATTTTTTTCTCATTGATCTGGCACTGTATTCAACAAAAGTCGTTCTGGGGTAAAGGGAATGGAGATTTATAGAGTTTTTAAAATCATTTCGTGTATCCAAGCCCAGAACTTCTTAGCTTTTTCGCATTGCTCAACAAACAGCTGTCTCAAACACAGCACATAACGTGTTCCTCACTGGTGACCTACAAGGGAAAAAAGCTTCTGTGGAAAGTCCCTTTCCTAGAGGCAGATTCTGGCTTGCTGGAGGGAAGTGAGCAACCGGACAAGAAGCCTGAGACCATCCCTCGATCCCAGAGCATGATACTAAGGCGCACAATGCCTTACCAACAATAAGCAGCCGGGGAGCGGGGTGTTGTGTTCCTGAGAGGAATCCGCCCGGGAACCCCAGTGCGTGCCACCTCGAGTTCCACAGAAGAAAGGTGGAATATAAGTGTAGTTCTTTATTACGAAAATGTCTGTGCTGCATCCGCAGAGACAGGCTTACAGTGACTCCCAACACTTAAAAAAGAAGTCAAAGCAGCAAGTGATCAGAGAAGTAAACAAATACTTAGAGAAATAAGTACAGGGAGGGGCTGTGGGCTCAGTGGTAGAGCATCTGCTTGGCATGTAGAAGGACTCAGGTTCAATCGTTGGCATCTCAAGTGGAAAGGTCCAGGCAATAGGCAATGTGAAAGACCTCCACCTGAGACCCTGGAGAGCCGCTGCCAGCCTGAATAGACAATACTGAATTTGATAGACCATGAGGCTGATCCAGGGGTCATTTCGTAGAAAAAGAGCTAGGGGAACTCATTAGCATAACTCATTAGCATATGCCACACCCCCTGACATCACCGGAAGAGTGTCATAAGGCCACACCCCCTGACATCACTGGAAGTATGTCATAAGGCCACACCCCCCGCCCCCAACGGTCCCGGCCGCCGCCGCCGGCCTTGCAGCTCCACTG